GCAGACACAAACCAGCGAGCAAAAAGGAGGGGGGATAAATGAAAGCAAAAAAGCAGCCACACAATCCACAGTCCCAGCGCTGATTGGAGTGCGGATGCTTTTCACCAATGGTTTGGCGGGGTCAAGGAGCTAGACTGGGTCTGTCTTCTCTCCGGGTGTAGACGAGTACTCTGTATATGCAGATATGCAGAGGAGAGCGGGCAATAGGTAGGAAGCTTAAGCCTCAACCTTCTCATATATAAAATTTCCCACGACTCACCTGCTCTGGTATCGCTTATGCAAATATCACCCTAGTAGTCTGAGATGGGCGTTGAGGTATTCGTTTGTAGATCTTCCGTTGCCTCGTCCTTGATCCTTACTATTACTTATTACTTCTCAAGAGGGAGGGAAGGAGGGAGGGGGATAGGATGTGTTTTCGGGGTCGTGGTTGTTTAGTGGAGGTTTCATATATTGCAGCACTGGTCCTTTTGGAGACACCTGGCTTTTTTTCGAACCCAGTTTAGGGGCGGAGGGTGAGATGAAGGTGTTGAGAGATCGACGGAAACAAAGAGAGACAGAGAGAGAGAGAGAGAGAGAGAGAGAGAGAGCTAGTAACAGTTATTGAATCGACGATGTGTGTTTCTTTTCCAAATAGCTACGAGGTTTGATAGGTGTAGGTTGGCGCACATGCTGCGAGAGAGCTGACAGGGGAGGGTGGCGACTTGCCAGGGCATAAAAGCGACAGCTATAGGCCGGCGGGCAAAATGGGCGTGGAGGAGATGAATGGACGTGGGTTGGAAGTGATGAAAAGAAAGAGATTTCTGCTTTCAAGACGGCGTGTATGAGGAGAAGAAAAGGGAAGAGAAAAAAAAGATACGTATAAGAGCGGAAGGGGAAAGACAAGGAGGAAAGGAAAGAGACGGAGCTTGCTGCTAACGGTAAGCTTTGGAGCTCTGGAGCTCTCTGAGCTCTATATTTAATCCAACATAGCACAAAAACATACAATATTGAAATAAGAAGCCCTAACCAACACCAGCAGCGGAAAGTTTGCCGCTCTTCTGGCTTGCCAACTGCCATACTGCCATATCACCATTACCAGCATCACCACCCTTGTCGAGCTACCTACTTGGGTATGATGCACGTTACTCCCAGGAAAATTGTAACCGTAGAACTACGAAAACCTTCTTTGCTAAAGTTACCTACTTCAGCCGTCACTCCACTCTGGACGCTCCATGTAGCCGTTATATACCTAGACAACCCTCCTGGCTCTCCATCTGTCAACCAAGGGTCAGAAAGCCCCCAAGCTTTCCAGACCTTCCTTCACATTCCTGTGCCCATCTGGCGGTCCCCATTGAGAGTTTGGTTCCCAGAGTCGAACCCAGAACCTTGCTTTTCCCCGTTCCTTTGACTTTTTCATTTATTGTATATTGTATTATCCCCAGCAGGTCTATTATGTTATTTTCGGAATAACAGAAGTAATTTTCTGTTCAGTTGAATCTCCACGAGTACGTACCCATTTACCCGCCGCTTAAAAAATGACTAGTCCATCCATCCCATCTCATTAGCCACTTTTAACGCGCGTCTAACAAATCCGGTTTTCAGCCTCAGCTTCAAAAACGATCGATGACGGCGAGCGCTTTCGACCAACCGCTAAATTATCACAACAGCGAACCCTTTTCCAGGAATCCCAGCATCTTTACGAATATAACTCCTGCGGTGAGTACATACATTCGCGTAATAATAGCCGTTATTGCCAATTTTACATAGCATTGCAATTATCAAGGAGCTGGAGTTCCAGCGCGATATGGCAACGGCAACATCCCCCCACTACCGTCCATACTATACCATATAATCAGGCTCCCCCGTCTGAATCCCTCGTGCCAAGTGCCTCCGCCAACTACCGAAATCCCGTGTCACGTCTCCGTAACCAGGAATCGGTTTCCCAATACCGATTGCAACCGCTTGACTCTGAAAGCAGACTTCGCCTGCTCCGTCTGCCCGCGTGTTTGCTGTGGGCAACAACTCCCCGCATAGTGGGAGAGGTCGAAATCTTCCTGTGGGTTAGTGAGACAGAGAGTGGGTGGTCATTAATTGGTGACGGGCTAGGTAGGGTAGGGAGGAAGTCGAGTTTTATTTAATTGACGGATTTACTTTTAAAACGTTGGTTTGAGAGCGGACGCCCTATCCGTTTGCATCACCACCACGATCCCAGGCGCCCATTGGAAGCGAGGAAAGAGGCTATTTTCCTGCAAAAACAGAAGAAAACGAGTTTGCTCCCTGGATGGGAATAGGTTCTCCCGAATCCTATTGTAGTTTGAGGTGGGGAGTAAAGGCTTTGTTCAATATTCGAGGGGTACAGCTCAATTGGCAGCGTTCGGTTTTTACGACGGACTTTCTTTGTTCTGGCAACGACTCTCGAACAACACACGGGCAGCGACGCTTACTCTTGCAATTTGTAACTTACAGATTTGATCATCTGTAGTAATAGCTTGTGCGGCATCAGATAGGGAAACACAATCATTTCCTCTTCCCCCCCGGGGCGACCTCATCATCCGGATATTTGTTCGCGTATATAACAACGTCACACTACTACCACTCCCTGCTCCACTACTCCTGTCACCATGGGTAGACCACAGCTTTATTCTCCCCGCCAACCGGATAGCCCCTCGAGGCAGCTTATACTAGAGCTTGCAAAAGACCTAGAGCAGGTCCGTCTACACAACAACGAGCTCAAGAAAGTACGGGCCTACGAGCGCAAATCCTTCTATGAAAAGCTAGACCGTCTAGATCGGGAGAAGGAAGAGGTACACAATGCAGCTCTGACAGCTGCAGCTGCCAAGCGTGATGCTCTTAGGCTTGAGGCTGAGGAGACTTTGCAACTCCATCTACGTGCAGAGCAGGAGGAAAGAAGACGGAAAGAGGAGCTGGAAAAGCAGAGGAGGGAGAAAATTGAGCGGGAAAAGGCGGAGAGGGAACGGTGGGAACGGGAGGAGGCTGTGCGGGTGGAAGCTTTGAAGAGAGCTGAGGAAGAGGAGAAGAGGAGGAAGGCTGAGGAGGCTGAAAAGGCGCTGAAGGCTGCGAAGGAAGCAAAGGCTCAACAGGAACGGGAACGCGTGGTGCAGGAACAGAAGAAAAAGGAGGAAGCTGCGCAGGAGCTGGCCAGAACCAAGGCAGCAGAGAACAAACAGATACAGCAGCAGCAGCAGGAGGAGGAGGCAGATCAAGCGTCAGCTGCAACAAAAGCCCTGGGAGCCGCACACCGTACTCCCCAACAAATCGCGGAGCATCAACGATACCTAGAGCTGCATCAGCATCTCAAGAAGTTTCGACAGTACATGGTCGGTGAAACGAAGAAGAATCCAATTCTGAAACAGCATATGGGTGACATGCGCCGGACGATAAAGAAATGCGTTGGCCAGCTCGTCGTGGATGACAAGGTCGCAAACCGCACTCCTGTATGTTTTTTCCCCCGAACCCCCTAACCCCATTCCCCCCATCCTGCTCGATCTAGCCCAAGACTCGTCATACCACACCATACGCATCACGTTTCATCTACGAGATCTTCTTTTTCCCTTATATTCTTCAACTGACGAACCCGCCCGCTACCACCCCCTCGGCTAAAATTAAAATCGCCAGACCAACGAAATAACCACAGTCCTCAAGAAAGCCCTAATCCTCACCGAACCCTCTGTCGACATACGCCAATTCCTCGCATTCCCCCCGCAACAACTCAACGCCGGCACCAACGAAGCCGAAACCAAAGCCCCCGCCCTCCTCCTCTACCTCCTCAACATCTTCTCAAAGGCCATAATTGCCCAACTCATCGCCGAAGCCGGCATAACGCCCAAATACGCCGAGCCCCTAGGGGTCCTCACCGCCCAAATCTTCTCCATGGAAGCCTTCACCTACAACGGCATCTCAATGATCGACCTCCTACTTGCAAAATACCATGCCATCTGCCCCGTCCTGTGGGGGTTCTATGGCAACGAGGCCACGAGCGATGGCAAGCTGGCCGTCGGATGGTGGCGAGAGCGTGACGGTGAATCGCCCGGACGCTTCGTATCGCCGCAGACACACGAGGAGCGCATGATCGGCCTCGGTGCCGGGTTTGCGGCGATATCGCTCCGGAATTTCTCAAAGACGACGCGCAAGAACCCCGTGCCGAACACGCACTTTTGGTCCGCGTGTGCTAATATCTTGAATGTCCCGGCTGGTGAAGTGCAGGATACGCATTTGCTTGTGCTGAGTGCGCTGCTGAGGCATTCTGCGGTGAGGATTGTGGGGTTTTGGGGGGATTTGGGGCTTGCGTTGTTGCGGAGGGCTGTTGTGGAGTTTCCGGCTGGGTTGGGGGAGAGGAAAAAGGGGGCGGCGAGGGCAGGGGTGGAGATTTTGAGAGATCTTTTTGTTAGGGAGAGGTGTATTTTGCTTTAAGAGGGGGGCTTGCCAGATGGTAGCTTTCAATTCTTCTTCTTTTTTTTCTTTTTTGGATCATGTTTACGAACTAGGAGTGGAGATGGCGAATGTGGTGGTGTTTTAATGTCGTGTTTAGCGGACGGGTATTCCATCTATTTTATCTCCTTTCCCATAGAGCCAGAAGAAGCTCATCGGGATGTGATTTGTTACAGGACTACTGGATGATTTCCGCACCCGATATTTTTCCCTCATCATTATGTGTTAGATAGCTTAGCACAAACCTTGATAGTTAACGGAGGTCCGTAGGAGAGCAAGCGATATCACACCTGGAGAACATCTACCTGTACATCCACGGAGTACTGTGCATGTACCAATGCTAATCGGATCCAGTGCAAGATAGCAGCGTTAACTGCTGTATCTAGACACCCGTATTGGGCATGTCCGTTACTTGGAAGCAACCGGTCTCATGGATACCATAGCCTATGTAGACTCTCAGTTCAAAGATAAAAACTATAAGATAAAAACAAAAAAGGCAAAATTAAAATTAAAATTATATAGCAATAAAAGCTAAAAAGATCCAACCGGTTACTTTTAAGCTTTCTGACGATTTCCACCTACTAGTTAATCAAATTCAGCAATTGTTGGTGGGAATAGATGAAAGTTAAAGGCGTATCTTATAGTTTCTGTCTCGAAAGGGAAAATGCTCGAAGAGCAGTAGTTTGAGAGAGATCAGATCTGGTAATGTGAGCAATAAGGGAAATATAAGAAAGATACTTGGTGTACGGAATCACTTCATATGCATGAAGAGAAGGGTATCATATCCTCTGCATTATGAAGTGTAGAAGACTACTAGAAATTAGTAGTACATTCTCGTTGACAACACTCAAGAGAAAGAGGTCATCATGAAGTTATGCAGAGATTTAGGCTGTGCTGAACTCCACTTACAATGTTTTCAATTGGTCACTTGTTTTTTCAAACATAACCAAGCTCATTCACAATATTTACATGAGGGACCATGAGCCGTAGAAGACGTTATAACTACTATTGTTCTCAAGCATCAAGGAAGTCATGTCCAATAACCATTTGGCTGCTTTCTTTATCTAGCTACACCACACACATTCATGGGAGAGACCTGACCAAACATCCGGACGTTGTGCTTCAAATCGCAACCCACAGAGCTATGTGACACAGAGACTCAGCTTTCGATATGTGTTCTGAACCAATTGCTTCTCTGAGTAGGGAATCCCTTGAGCTGTCCACAACAGCGGTTATCTAAATGCGATTTTGCGGGTGAATGGAATCGACGCAAATCTAGCCCGAACTTCTTAGCTCGAAAAGATGTAACTATGTATGTACTGTACATCGACAACACGAACATTTTCGACGAAACATTATGGCTTATCTGTCCAAAATGGCAGAATCAAGAAACAACGATCTCAGCGCCGCCACGAGAATTTTTACACCTGGTGGTATTTATCATGACCGCAGAAGTAAATACTAAAGTCCAGCAGGAAAAAATAACAAAGCACACCACTGGACCGAACTTCATTCGCCTAATTAAAGGAATTCCACGATGACAATGTGTTGTTGCAATGACCATCCTTGCATCCCTCACACAGATCATTGTGGTGAGGACCGTTTTTTTCAAACGAATAAGGAGGAGGGGCACCCATAAAAATACCATCCCATTTCTTGATACGATACGCCACTCTTTCTGCATAGGACTCGTCAAGAACAGGTCTGCTGAGAGAATCGCAGCGCCGACAGCGTTGATGATATACCCTCGCATTGTATTTGTTCCCAGGGTACTTGCGTATGGTGATGGCTATTTGTCTACTTGACCACCCGTCCGTGCCGCACGAGTCATTGTGGCAGGTGAATCGGCCCATGATATTTGTGTCGTGCTCTCTGATGCAGCCTTCGGCGTTGTCATCGTTGTGGAAGTCGAAATGGAGGTACTCCTCTTCCAGCAAGCTTGATACATGCTCGTGGTGCGTTGGATACATGGACCATCTTTGGTTGTACGATTGAGCATCAGCTGGGGAGTTTTGGATACGCTGCTTTTGAGCTGCTTTATTTTTGAACGATTTGTTGTTGCCCTTCGGATTGTGAGCTGGGGCATCCCGGATATGCTGTGCCAGGGCGTTTTCGCTGTAGAATGATCGGTTGCAGCTGTTGCAATCATACTTCAGAGGATGACAGTCTTCGATGTGCTGTTCAAGGCCATTCTCAGTTTTGAATGCTCGGCTGCAGGTGTTGCAGGTGTATCTCAGAGGATGAGAGTCTCGGATGTGCTGTCCAAGGGCATTTTGACTGGAGAATGATCGGCTGCAGCTGCTACAGTCGTACTTCAGAGCATGGGCTGGGGAGTATTTAATATGCTTCTCGAGAGCCGTTTCATTCTTAAATCGCTGGTTGCACGGGATGCACTCCATGGCTGCCGGAATACGAATAACGGGACAGAATGAACATAAAAAGTCTCTGATAACCTCGAGCTTAGCCCTCCACTAATAAAATGTCTTCCTCCCTGGTTTGTGAGCTAGGGAACGGTCGGGTCTTGTTGTTGCACCTATATATGGCATGTCAAATGTTAACAAACTGCATGATCTGGATCGAAGAACGTGTTCTTCACATCTCCGCTGAACGTTGCCGAATATTACTGGAATGGCTTACCATGCAATGAACGCCACTGTTGCAATGCGTCTGGTCTTCGGTTTAAGTCTCTGTTGATTCACAGTGACGTCTCCGTGATGTGTCCTTCATAACCCTCACACCCTTCAAATTCCTGACCCAGGCAACGACGGGGGAACGAAATAAAAGAAAGGAAAAGAAAGGAAAAGAAATGGAAAAGAAATGGACGGACATGGAAAGGAAATGGAAAAAAATGTGTTACTCTCCTTCCCGTACCCTTCTAAACTAACCCAGAAGAAACCACCCCTCATCAAACACCGGACATTTCCATGTTGGTGTATGTACCATGCCCTGCCCGCTGCATGGCGTAGAAATAAGTGTAGAGCAATTTCTACGGATAAATTCCAACGCAAAGACGCGGCAAGCATCATGCGTCCAACAGATTCAGAAATTATCAGGCTACTTAGTGCTCTGGACCGAGCATCTGTGCATGATGTGTGATTCCCTGATGGGTGCCGGGAAAGAGCCGTGCAGCAGAGGCGGGGATTTCAGCTGGGTGGCTGAATGTATGATAGCGATTTGCTCATAGCGAGGATGGGGATGTGGGAATTGAGGCCGAGAATGCCCTTCTATCTATATACATGGTTCCAATGAACTAACTTATCTTGCAATCATAAAAATCTGGATCTAGCATTTCACTACACTGAACCAATCATGGCTTTGCATGATTTCCTTGCTGTCTCCGGCTGGAAGACCTTAACGGTAAACAGGGAAGTTGATGAGTTGAAACATGCATAGAAAGATGCCGTCAGAGGCTGGAGCAACTTCAACCGCCGTCGAAGTCAGTGAAATCCTGGAAGCCAGGAGATGGAAGAGAAGAATGTTGAATGTTTTAGTTTTAGCATTTGATATCGGCGGCTATAACTAACTTAGCGGGCCACGACTAGCGCCGTTAGCCCTAATTAACCATGCGCCCTCCCACTTGTCTGTGGGAGGCCTCTTCAGATTAATCAGTTTCTGAACAGAGAAGGTAGAATAATAAAATTATCACATAATTTACTGAGGCAATAAATTGAGCTTCAATTTTGCAATGATATTTCGTTGAACATCCTAATAATTTTTATTCTTGTTCTTGTGATTGCTGTGTACTCTTGAAATGTAAAATAAGGGCCACTGCACACTTGTTTGTTGCATGTCATTGTCATTTATGTTACCCTTTTCTAATCTTCGAGAAACTAGATCTATGTATCTACCTTTAATAATCAAATCTAATACATAATTCCGTGGTTCACACAACCCTCCATCCCTGGACATGAGAATTGCCAGAAATGGCCAACTCAAACCAGTGGAATGCACTGGAACTCAGCGTTCATACTCTATCCGTACATGAAAATGCACTCCCAAATTCCCCCTGCCGGTATTTAAGAATAACACTTTCAACAGAAGCGTAAAAATTTCAAAGGCATTAGCATCTTCCGTTCAATTTTAAATACCAAGAACAAGATCGAGAAGAGTTGCCTACTCACATAAGTTCCAGGACCTAGGAAATAAAATCCAATCCCAATGATAAAAAGGTTGAGGATAAAGCCTGCCCACCCGTGCCAGCCCCAGACAATGTCGCTTGATGCCGACGAGTAAGAGCCAGCCGCCCCAGCATATTTACTCACTCTCCGCCGTCGTTTTGAGGTCACAAAATGATCACAATCATTGCTATCGTCGTCATCATCGTCGCCGTCGAAACGTGTCAGGTTATCATTTTTGAGTAGGGGCGTGGTGACACCTGATTCTAGATCTGACGCCGTTTTGACGAGTAGATAGTCCCCTCAAGGCTGAGAGCCGAGGGGAGATGAAAAATATATCAATCGTAGAGATGGGCAGCATGAAAGATATCTTTCCTGCTGTTTGGGAAGACCGCAGCTAGAAACTGAATATTTGTAATATTGGTGACTCGTGAACGCAAAGGGGTACTTTGGTTCGCTTTGCCTGTTAGACGAAGGAGTTATCCGAGAGGTTTTCGGGTTAACTTTTGACGAGGGAGAGCAAAAGAAGATAGAAGGACAGTAATCGGAAATATCAAGCCTGTAGTTGGACTGGTGTGGTACAGTCGCACGGGATAATGAGGGTGTCTGAAATGGTATTGTTGTGTAGTACCCTCTGCTCTCTACACTTCGCCATGCGTAGTTCAACACCAAATTGTAAAACAGAGCTATGGACAAGCCGTCCATTGGCCCCTGGCAAAGGTTGATAGTGACTAAAAGTGATTCTGTGAGTGTGTGACCCCGTAGGTAAGTGCTCTGTTGCGCTGCGAAGTTATGAAACTAGCGGATGATGGTTTAACTAATCGGTCCGGTTGCCATCGGTTTGGATTCATCATAATCTGTTGAGATCTGTAAAAAGAATAGTAATAATGTAGAAATTTTAGGTGTTCTATCTTGCCGCCGGTCTGCAGGAACAGATCTTACCATCTTTTTCGATGAGATCTCTATTAACCTCCCCGCAGAGTCGTTGCCAAGTTTCCTGCCGCCGGGGTAACTAGTGGATGGAGGGGAGGGTATTTTTCAACACCAACACGGTGAGCTGTTTTATTACAACGCACATTAGCTGAGTGGACAGCGCCTAGACTTTCCGACTGAGCTATAATATATCCGTGACAATGCTGATTTGATATAAATCAGAGAATCGAGTCAAAATCCGAATCCCTCCTCCCCATAATTCAGCCGCTAAACTTTCCAAAAAGAGGTCTAGCGCCTGGGCTGGTTGAAATAATCACCTTTCCTGTGAATTGTAAAGCTTGTTGCAATGAACACGGTTCATTTGAATACCTGGTTTCTTGTTTGATGCCCATATGGCCAGAACAGCCCGCGGGATGGATGACGCATATGTGAGGCATTTTGCCGTCTGTTACTCATTGAGTAGTTAAGTTACAACGAATGACGTCACCGCAACAACTTCCCCAAGAACATCAGTATAATGGCTGAATAGATTTTTAATTAAACATCAATCTCAGCTTAAAGTCGTTCATCATGGCCCCTCAATATTATGAAAATCAGCTTGATCTTATCACCTTAGATGATGAGGTACTGCACCAAGTGCTTCGTGAACTGCAAGGGGCTGTGAAGCGCGCCACAGACATTATCAAGATAAACGTCCCTGAACCGCTTCCCGACGACAAGAATGCGTTTGGTTCTATCTACAATGGGACTCTTGGTATGCGCCCACCTGATTTTACCCATGTAAAAGAAGGAGCTGGAATTGAACATTCCAAATAGGGGTTGCTCTTATGTTTCTCCGTCTCCAGCAACAAGCGAGTTATGTTGAGGACGGCGAGGAAGCCCCGCGCCTAGCATCAGGATTTTATGAACGGGCCTATTCAAGAATTAGCTACAGTGTTTCAGAGACCAGTCACTTGAGGCCTGGGCGATTATCACCGCTTGGGTCATCTACTCTGGGCGCTTGCGTCCTCCGAGTCTCCGCAGCCCTTGCCGGACCTACTTTGCAGAAAGCGTCTGCCCTTGACATCGACATACTTAAAACCGCCACAGAGTTCGCTATTAAACAGGGAACAGTCCTAGGCGGTGATGAAGCATTATACGGACGTGCTGGGTTGTTACTGGCGCTTTTGCAGATCCGACAACAGTGCAAAGACGAGGAAAACACTGCAGCGTTAACCCCTGTCTTCACAATGATCCCGAGGCTTGTAACTATTATCCTGGAGTCTGGAAGGGTAGGTGCTACTGATTACGAGGATGCATACGGAGATCAGGATGTCTTGCCACTCATGTGGCCATGGCATAACAAATATTATCTCGGAGCGTGAGTTTCTTCCTAACATCTCACCCCCCTCCCAATATGATATACACCCACCCAGTCTTAATTTCTTTTCTTTTCTTTTTTTATTTTTTATTTTTTATTTTTATTTTTATTTTTATTTTTATTTTTTTTTTAACGAAAACGCAGAATCCATGGGATAGGTAAGCAACCTCCCGAGTTTGGTTGGAGAAAAATGTAATTTAATATCAACTTAGCTGGTATTTTGTCCGTTCTTCTCGCCTGCAAGCCTGACGAGCTTGACGACGGCACCATTAACCACTTACCGATTATTGCTGAAACTATAAGTGGGCTATGCAAGCTTACTATTGAGAATGGCGGCGATCTCCCTTCTTCGCTTCCCATCCGTTCATCCTCCCGTTATGCCTCTTACGTGCAGATCTGCCATGGCTCCCCGGGAATGCTTATCCTCCTTGCCCAGGCGCGAAACAGCACCCAGCTAATGCGCTCATTCTGGGAGCCAGACTGGGACAAAGCCATCCGGATTGGAAGTAGGCAAGTGTGGGAACGAGGATTACTGTTCAAAGGGGGCGGAATATGCCACGGCATTGCGGGAAATGCGTGGCCCTTGTTATTACTGCACGATAGCTTTGAATACGGGAACGAACGCACGGAGCTAGCGAAACTCTCGTTCAAGGATAGAACTGGCTCTGATGCTTCGGCAGAGGAGGAACTCACGCCAGATTATTTCCTCTCTAGGGCCTTGACATTATTGCTCTACGCACGAAAAACTCCACCGTTCCATCACCGTGAATTCCGTGACGAACGCGAATTTCGCTTGCCAGATACCCCTTATAGCCTTTTTGAAGGGTTGGCGGGCACCTGCGCTACATGGGGGGAAGCGTGTGTGGTCATTAAAGCCCGATTGAGGAAACAGGAGTTGGTCGATAAAAGCAGTGGTATTTCGTCTGAAGAGATAGAAAGGGATGAATTACTTTCTATTCATTTGCAGCATGAGTTGGGGTTTCCTGGCCTTACGCTGGGAGGATTGCGTTGATAAATCGTGGAAAGTAATTCTCCTTTTCTGGTTTCATTCGACATTTTATGATTGATATGTGATGAATATTATTCCAGGAGGCGCTACTGCAAGTTTATTACTATTCCCGCCTTGTTCAAAACATGTTGTTGGGTGGTTCGATCACAAAGAATGGGGCTTGATACCTCAAAACGGGAAATTCGAAATTAGGGTGTCAAATCTCCGTCGCTGATAGTATATGTACGTTTCTGCAAAAATTGGACTACGTAGCTACGAATATATTAAAAGTAATGCAAATCATAAAAATAGCTTCAAATTTCGAGGCTCTATCAAAAAAATGCCAACCATCGAACATGCATACCTCACCCAAGGATAACGATCACATGCCATCGTCTAGGCCATCATCCGCCAACAATGCAGCATAATCATCCGCAGACGCGAAAAGGGGCAAGTGTTTGAGTTTCCTCCTTTTCTGTCTACTCGTAGATTTGTCTCCTTTGGGCGAGGCTTCAGCGAGTAGCTCTTCAACCCCATTGTCCAGGTCAGAAGGCACATCGTCATCACTGTCTCGGAATGCATCTTCGTCTGAGACATCCATATCGAATGCATCCTCATCCCCAAAGCCCTCGAAACCGTCGATTTCCTCCGCTGCATGCCCTTTATCTTGCTCTACCTCAACCCCTGACTCATCACTCTCATCATTGAAAATTACCCCTTCCTCATCCTCGTCATCATCGCCACTTTCCATATCATCCATATCAAGATCATCAAGCTCATCTTCATCATCACCCATGGCGGATGCCAAATCATCGACGTCGATATCATCGTCACTCTCACCATCGCCCTCAAGCTCGGGTCGAGACTGAACAAGAGCCTTCCAAATCTCTGATTCATCATAACTCTCAGCCCCATCCTTATCCCGGGCACCAGTCTTCTTCTTCGACTTCAGTTTGCGCACATTATCCTTATCCATGCGATTGAAGTACTCGTGGAAGAATACATCTTCAGCAGCAACTTTGTCACTTTCCCTTTTCCAGAACTCTTCCCTATTAACTGGTTCCTGCGCCTTGCCCATTCCTCCAGATGTGACTAGTAAGCCTCTATTGTCGCCTCCAGCGAGAGGCTGCATAATGGAAGCCCCACGCATACTGGGAGCCGCCTTGGGATTACGGTAGACAAATCGGTCCAAGAAGTGTGTAAGAGTGTGAATAGAAAGATCAGGCTTGCCAGACATAGGTTCGTGGTGCAGTAGATGAGAAGCGTTAACGGAAACGGAGGGATGAAAGTGAGAAACGTAGGGAAGCTATATTTGATTATTAATGACAATCGTCAAGGAGCTCGAGGCAGGGAAGGGAGGGATACTTACCAGTTCCCAGAGACAACTTCTATCAGCATTGCTATGTTCGGGGTCTCTTTTACGAGGGTCATATCGATTTTCATTTTTCTTCTCGGTCTGCTCCGGCGCTTGCTCCGCGGTCTGCTCTCCATCCTCCGGAACATCTCTAAAAATCTCCTCGTCGTCGTCTTCGATGTTTTCTTGTTCGTCCATGAGCGTGGAGAGATTTATAAAAACCTTCTCCAGCTCCCTTATCAAATAGAACACGCCACAAATGAAAGATGGGTGATGTAGTGATAGGATTTGAACCAGTCGTTTTACGAAAGCCTTAACTCTCCTGACATTCAAGTCAGTCTTTAGAGATTTATATAAGAGATTTAGGTACAACGACTGCTTTGACGAGGAGGATATTCGGGGGTCGAGTAGGGACTCATAGAGGGTTCGATAAAATCGGTCCAACGACACTTGGTGAGAAGACGATAGCTGCTGGATAAGCATCAACGCTTGGATGCTAGTGTTGAAGTTCGAGGAATGGGTGATACGGAATAAAGTATCAATATGCTTCGAAAGCCTGCCAGTAAAAAAAAAGAATGGTTAGCATCATTGATCAAAGATAACAGGCTGGCGGATATCCTTACTTTTCGACATCAGAGCTGGTGAACGGATAAGCTCGATTGACGCCAGTCAAAACGCCCGCAATCAACTTCTCGCGCAACTCAGTTTCCTGAGCCTGTCCTTTTGGAACTGCGGCGCCTCCACGTCGCTTTTTAGATTTTGCATCGTGTCTCCCATGTTTATGTTCCGAGTTGCCTGCGGAATCCTTGGTCGGCTTCAGCAGAGCAACGAAAAGACCAAAATATATATCGAGGAGCTTTGACGCAACATCCTCTTCGCCACTTCTCAAGACTGTCTGGTTGAGGGTGATTATTGCATAATACTTTGCATGCTGGCTTTGGCCTGGTCGGAAAAGAATGTCTGATTCGACCGCTGAGATTATGATTGGTTTCATCAAAGGGTGGGACTGTTCAAGCTGTAGTAGAAGATAAGACGCCCGCGAAGCGATCTTTTTGTTTGGATCACCAAGTTTATTGACCAGGAGGCGCAACAAATTGGACTCCTGTTCTGGCTTTTCTTTTAAGAGCTCGTAAACATAGCTTACTGCTTTGGATCGCGAAAATTCGATTTCATCATTACACCAAATTTCGAGGATTTTCAGTACCTCGAAGTATTGCTCCTTCAGAAAGTCCTCGAAGGCCCACACAATGAGGTGGCTCCGGTCCAAACCCTTGGGCAAGGGATTTGAAGCAGTCCAGTTACCAGGAACATCTTCGAACGCAGCGAGCAACGCCGAGTGATTGGCCAGTGATTTTAGTCTGCGATCACTCGGGAGAAGGGTGCCTTGGGCAAATAGATCTTTGAGGGATCTGAGAACCTCAACAGCTTGCGCTCGACTTCTCTTTTTAGCAAGCGCAATAAGATTCTCCAATGCTTTTACATTGTGGAGAGGTGACTCTTGCACCGCCAGTGTTAACGCTGAGATTTTATCACTCAAAGTTCCGGAAGAAACGATAGTGGAATAAAACTTGTAGGATGAGGACGACTGCTGCGATGTTGCAAAGGCTTGGTTTTCCGAGTTAAGTAGCGTTGTAGCATATTCTTGGACACGATCTAAGATGTGTCGGGCGACACCGCTACTCTTCGGTGATTCTAGAGATATTTCAGGCAGTGGTATGGAATACCAATCGGGACGAGGGTCGATAACCTATGGTCAGATTAGTTCTGAGCCAGATTGGAGACGTATGCGCAGTAAAACTAACCAAATTGGATGATCGTGCACTATGCTGCTGTGTTAGCTTTTTCGAACCGGAGACCTCCTCCTGGTTCGGATTCGATTTCTTCTTCAGAGTATTTTGCGTTGGGGTTTCTATTGAAGGCTGGATATCCTTTGGTGGCTTGGTTTCCTTTGCCGGCTTGGGAGCAAGGTGAATAGGATTCGCAACGTTAGCCTTTTTAGCTGTAGGTTTTGACGCTGGGGATGGATTATCTGCGCCCAGCATTTTTTCTAGATCCTTGCGTAGAGTGTTCTCATTAACTGATTTCCCATTTTGTTTGTTTGGCGTATCCTCAAAGACTTCCATTTCCGAATCTGAATCGATGCCAGCAAGGAGATCGTAGTCCTCCTTAGTTCCGCCGATCGAGTATATTTCATTTTCTAATGCGCTTCCGTGGGCCCCTCCTTCGTCAAGTTTGGACCCAGGTTTTCCCTTCGCGCTTACTCGAGGGGCTATAACTTCCCCGTTCCTGTCCCGCTTTTTCCCCTTTTTGTTGTCGGGTTTACGTTCGAATTGCGGACGAGCATCTTTCTTCTTTTTCAATTCACTCGCGGTCGCCTTTGGCTCCTTTCGCGGCTGGGATTTCTGGTCTTGTAAACCTTGTTCAATGCGTTTCGTTAGGTTGGCTAGGACGCCCGTAGACAAGTCTGGAAGTGAATCTGTATTGGTAGTAGAGGAGTTAGCAGGCTTTTCCGCAGCTGCGATCGGTACCTCATTTGCAGAGAATCGTCGGCCTTTTGTCTTTGGCTTCCCCATTGTGAATGCTGTGGCTGAATAGCGCACAGAATTACTATGGTATCTCCTTCTCTTCTGTATATTTTCCAAGGACTAAATTATTTTTTTTGATAAGTTACCGGCCTCCGGAAAAACTCTTTCCGAAACCCGACAGCAAAGCACGGGCCATTCAATTTTTCTGCGAGACATAATCGGGAGAGCTTCAAGAAGCCTTGGACGAACGATAAAAATTGGCTTCTATCTCGATCGGTTTCCTTTTCGGTTCTTTTTCTATACATGCTCATGTCATGAATTTGTAATATTGAGACGTTCGTTAAATCCAGTCCTATGAACAAGATATTTTTTTCAAGAGTCGGACCTCACTCTCGGCGCGTTTCCACATCATGCTTGCAATTTCACAAACGTAGATTTTATGTATGTCGAATAAGAATCGTTCAGTGTCTTTGAACCTCCCTGTCAAGCTAATTAGCTATAGAGTGATGGGAGAAGTAGGCTTTCGGCCTTCTGGACCCCAACGGGAGGAATAGCCAAAAAACCCGGCAGTCATGGTATGTTTATGACTCCCGTTGACTTTTTGGTGACATAGACTAAACATTTCTCTCGTAGATGCAAACTATTTATTGATTCAGGGTGGCTTTCTCCGCCAGGTGAGATTTGGCATCATTGAGGTTGCGAATTTCTCTCATTTACCCCTTTGACAGGCCTATTCAGGGGTATTTCATATGCTCCCTCTCGGGCTTCGGGTGCAGGAGAAACTCGAACGTCTGGTGGATAAACACATGCGCACGCTTGGTGAGATCTCTAACTTGTCCAATGATTGACAGTTCATTTGCTGACAACTTTAAATAGGGGCATCGAAGCTATCTCTATCTTCTATATCGTCACAAGCCTTGTGGGAAAAATCCGGTCGGCTGAAAAAAGATTCAGAGGTATTGTGCAATACCAAAAACCGACCCTTGATACCTGACTGATAAATTTGAGCGTTAGTTCTTTAAATTCCAAGATAGAAAAGAGGCCCGGTTTCTTCTTGCTCCAACCCATGAGGAAGAAATTACTTCGCTTGTAGCAGGTGCCGTGAACTCTTATAGGGACCTTCCATTACGAGTGTACCAGATCAGTAGGTGTTTCCCAATGTTAAATCATCACCTACTGCTAATATATGTTTATTCAATTTATAGGTAGGAAGTATCGAGATGAGCCAAGGCCGCGGCAGGGGTTACTTCGAGGTAGAGAGTTTATCATGAAGGATCTTTATACTTTTGACTACAGTCCCGAGACAGCAATAAAAACTTATAGTGCTGTCAAAAAGGCCTACATACGACTTTTTGATGAGCTTAGGATACCTTACATGATCGCTACTGCAGACTCCGGCAACATGGGAGGAAGTTTAAGTCATGAGTTTCATCTCCCAAATCCCAAAGGCGAGGACACGATTATTAGCTGTTCTAGCTGTGGCAATGTATACAACGAAGAGCTTTCCGATGGGAAAGCATACGAAGACCTTACACCGCCTGCAAATCCCAATCTAGATAAATTATCTGCTGGACTAGAGGAACAGCAAGCCCCAGCGATCTCAACCGACATGTGGATGGGCATCTCAAAGGATGGAAATACTCTCATAAGGGTATTCTATCCGAAGTATCTAATAAAGGGCGGGGGCTCCGAGCCAGTGGAGCGACATATCAATTCCCATGCTGTGAGAACAATTGCTCGCTCAGCAGGGGTAGATCTCGACACAAGCGTCACCAGTCCAATGACAAAATGGCAAGCTATCACCAAAGAAGGCAAACAAGCGTCTACAGCTCAATTAAATGAGCCTACCATTTTGGATATTTATGACCACCGTGTGCGTGTTTACGATCGCCCTCCACTCCCCGCTGGGCACAGCAAGGAGGTTTTAGAACAACTGAAGGTACGATTCTCATCGTTGCACCATCACCCTGGTACCGATAAAAAACTCGACTGCATTAGCGCTGTGGCTGGAGACCGATGTTCCAAGTGCGGTGAACATACGGTCCAAACCCACACTGCCATTGAACTGGCACATACCTTCCATCTGGGGACCCGATATAGCAAAGTGTTGAACGCTTCCGTGGCTGTACCTTTAACGTTGTTGAAGGATGGCTCGAAAACGGACGATACCAGTACTCTTTCGGTTCCGCTTGAAATGGGATGTCACGGAATTGGTGTTTCACGGATGATATCTGCGGTTGCAGACACTCTGGCCGATTCCAAAGGGCTTAACTGGCCGAGAGCAATTGCTCCTTTCGAGGTCATAATCATCCCGGATAAAGGACTGGAAGGGGAAGCTGAAAGGGTTTACGACGATATAAATGGAAGGCAAATCGGTGCCGTTGATGTGATAGTTGATGATAGAGATAGGAATATTCCGTGGAAGCTTAGAGACGCTGATTTAATAGGATATCCTGTAATAATCGTCATCGGGAAATCGTGGAAGACGGAGAACAAACTGGAAGTCCAGTGCCGACGCCTAAACAATCTCCGGGAGACGGTATCGCTGCAAGATTTGCATCCGTTTACTAAATCACTGCTTGATAGACTCTAGAGGGGGATTAATTTTCTCTTTTCTAGTAATATTTATCTAGAATGTATTATATAGCGGGTGTTAATTTAGGGGCGCAGTGGAACTTCGTTATGTATTTATAGCTCCATTTTATCATCGCTTTTTTCGCGACTAGTTAATTTGCTCCCATGATGTCAACATCTCTCCACAACCCCAAACCACATCAACAAAATAATAACTTCTTCCACCCACCCATGCATACCAAGCACCCTATACCGCCAAAATCAATTAATCGACCGTCACTTTCCCGTTAATCTCTCGCTCCTCCTCTAGCCCTCTACAAAAGCAGGCGAAGGACAATGTCCTCACAACCTTCCGCAAAACAAGAGTCGGGCGAAGCTCCTCCGGGGACAAGTTCGTCATCCCACCACCCAACACCCCGCCCAAAAAAATCTACCCCAATCCAAAAGAAAAGGCAATCCCTTAATTTCCCTCTCAAATTCCAACCAAACTAACTTAAATACCAAACCTCCCTTAGTCGACCTCGCGACCCTCTCCGCCCCGCAACTCCGCTCCCTCCAATCTCGTCTCAGCTCAGAGCTAGAACACCTCACAAGTTCGCACACAAAGCTACGAAACGCACAGTTGAAGTTCCGCGATTGTATCCGCTCGATAAATGACGGAGTAGCAGGTCCTAGCGGCGCGGGCGCCAGCGGGGACAATAAAAGCGGTGGTACCGCGGGGAAGAGTGATGAGATTCTGGTTCCGTTGACGAACTCGCTGTATGTCAAGGGGACATTAGCGGATAGGAAAAATGTGATTGTAGATGTCGGGACGGGGTTTTATGTCGAGAAGGTTTGTTTTGTGTTTTTCCCTCTCATATATCTTTTATTACTTTCCTAGGAGTTTTACGCTGCTTGGTGAGTGTGGTGCGGTGTACCCGGCGGGCAGAAAGACCACTTTACGTATGAGCCAACAATAAAGCTAACTGTTTGGTTCCAAAATGTAGACGACATCAAAGGCAATTGCATTTTACAATGCCAAGGTCGAGGAGCTAGGTACGAACCTACGAGAGTTGGAAAAGGTCGTTCAAGGGAAGAGCCAAAATCTACGAGTTATCGAGGACGGTCCGTCTCCATTTACCCTTCTTCTTTAGAGAACCACGATGTTTCCATCTGTGACCCGTGTCTAACACCGTCTCGAACAGTCCTCCGTCAGAAACTCCTTAGTGAAGCCACAGCAGGGCCCTCTGGCGTAGGAAGCGGTGGTGATGCGTAATTCGGCATAGTATACCGTTCCAATGTTGATGCCAACATGAGCTCCACCCTGTGACTATCGTATACCAGGATGTGGTTGATGAGTATATTTGGCAAATAGAATTTTTACATCACTGTGGTTTCAATTTCCACTTTGCCCTTGGCAAGAGTGTCAAAGCTAGGTCGTGTCGTTTTCCTCACCTACGATAGGATAGGATGAGAAGCAGCTGGGAGGGAAATTTCTTTTCCAAGTGGGAACTGAAGTTTTGGCAAGACACGCTACGATGAAGGCAGGACGATCATACCATTTGTTAACTTAACCGGGTGTTCTATTCTCATAAATGAATAAAACCCACTCATGAAAAGTAAAAACAATCTTGATAACTAAAACGCACTCCAGACCCTATCTCCATACTCATTAATGCAGACATGGTGAAGCCAAAAACCCGGTTTGATTCTACTAGGCAACAATTTATGAATTCGTAAGGGGAAGGGGGGAAAAGAAAGTAAAACCTGTGAAGGAGGAACCAAGTATCATCCACCAAAGTAAAAATATCTGTTTTGATGTTTATTAGAAGCAACTATTACCATCAACAACCTGTGGATTGCGCTCCTTCATCCATTTCATTAGGTCAGTGACGGGCAATCAAATTGCTTCACGAACCAGCAACTTGGGCCTAGAACTTCTTCGGCGCATTCTACATGATAACTGGTTTGATGTTTCCGCAAGGAGTGGTTTCAGCCCGCTCAACAACTTCGCTCTTTCTCTCAGGGGTCAAAAGCTTCGCAACCTTGTTCACCAAGTCGATAAACTGATGAAATCCAGTGTTGACATCCGTTGAATCCTCGTCAGACAGACAAGGGAAAAAAGTATTGAGACTTGCACTCCAGTCGGCGGTTTGCCCAACTCGGAAACTCCCATTCTGTCCCAACATGTTATCCCATTCTTGGCGGAAAATGGAGGCACCCCATGTTGTTTCGGCTGTTTGGTTCATTTTGTTGCCATCACCGATGTACGGCGGACCTGGGCGGATGGCACGATGATATGTATCGTACCGTGCAAGCTCGAAGATGTATTTAGTACCCTTGAGACGATATCTAAGTGCTGACTTTTCCGTGATTTTGGAAACAGTCGCAATGTTGGAGAACGTCACACGCTGCACTGCGGTACCACGAAGTCCATCGGTGAGACCTCTCTTGAATTGGATAGAGTGATCAAAGCTTTTTAGAGACTGCTCAATGTTAGATTGTTCCTGGAAATCCAAAGCTTTGATTTCCAGCTGCCAGTCGGACCTGTTCGTAGGGCATTAGGATAACATTCTATATCTGACTAATTGTTTCAAGAGACACAGACCTTTCAAAGTCGATAACCCCAATCTGAAGCGGCGGTCGCTTTTCTCCAAGCCCATCATCACTTTGAGGCTTTAGCCAACGTCGATGCGATATCTCAAAAAGGTTTGGTCGATAACGAGATGATTCGAATTCAACCTCCAAACGAAGCAGTGCATTATTAGCGCCTTCAAATTCAATATTTACCGCATAGTGCGGTTTATTGTTTTCTAGAGACTCTATCTGTGGGTCGAACGGCGCAAGAAGGTCTGAAGCTTGTGAGCATCGAGTCATTAGGTCACCGTCAGCGCTTTTGAAACCGAGCCTTGAAGATGCATGATGCGAGATTAGCATAAGCTTCCTCAAACATTCATTCCCCAGGATACATACCCAGGAATTAGGCGACCTTTTGTTCCAGCATAAAAAAGCATACTTCGAAATTCCTCAAAAGAATACAGCTCTTTCGAATTCGGGGGAACTCTGTAATTCTCGAGTACAAATTTCCCGAAATTTATACGCATCCGGACATGACCCGCAAGAAACCGCAAACCGTCAAGGGACTGGTCCACCGCATTACGCAGACGTTGCTCGTTCTTTTTACGAAGCTGATGGCACTGTTCAAGCTCAGCGTCGTCCCATTTGGCTCCATAAAGAAAAGGAGTCGCCTGGATGTTCTGACTACCAGGCTGGCGACATTTCATTAAGCCTACTTCTGCTTTAAAGATGTCAACTGTAGGTGCTTGAACAAGATATAGTTTAGTCTTAACGCTTGTTTCAGCGAGAAGATTAGCCCACTTCGCGCGAAGCCGCTGGACAATCTCGATAATTTTCCCGTGGTCACCGCCGTCGACCCGGATGTATTTCTGGCCGTCTGGAGATTCATCATACAGATAGATATAATAGCCAAATTCCGCACGGATTGGATCAAGAGCTTCCAAGTCTTTGCCAAGGGCCATCTCCAGTGGAAGCTCATCATCTGGCCAAAGGAATAACATCTACGGGAGACATCAACCTATTAGCCCTCTGCCAATATAGGACGAAATAAAAAACATAGAAAACTATACCGTCTCTGGAATTTTGATTGAGGGATCGGGCTTCTGTCTATATTGTTCAATCATCAACTGGCGTTTTTCGTTAATATCATTGCGTATCTCCTTAGCTTTGACGTAACGCGAGATTTTGGCAAAATGGTCCTCCTTCTTTCTGGCTTTATGTATGACGACGAGCAATCAGTAAAATGTACCATGTATCTATTCTCGCACAATGGATGACAGCCTACCATTGGGTTGGAGGCTATCGCTATTATCAACCGGCCGAGCGCTTGGGTACTGCCTGTGATTTGAACCTCTGGCGTGATCAAAATTGGCTCGAGATGGACGATAGGCGCCGCGGCCTCGAACCCAGACAGGAGTACCCCTACCTCCATGCATCCCATCCCTTGCACCTCTATGCCCTGGCGCTGAGGAATCACCACGGTGATTCAATGGTCCTATATCAACTAATCAGTCTTTGGCTTCTAAAAAAAACCTGGTCCTTTTACCGTTGTTTGGTATTCCTTGTTGATGGGGAGCCGTTCCGATATTTTGATGTCTCACAGGGTTGGTTGACCGGGGCGTTGCCAGTTGGTCCTCCAGATTCAACCTCCCTATACGAGAAAGTCAGACAGAGTCCAACGAACCCAGTAGATATAGCTGCGGTAAAGTCAAATTCTAACGGTATGAATGAATTCGCCTACCTCTTGCGGCACGCAGTTCGTATCTTGCTTTACATTAGTACATATGAAATATCCATTGGACGGGAGTTGATATCTCACTGCGCCATTTTATCTTGTTCGAAGTGTAGAAAACGCTCCATTGACGAGTCCAAGTGACAGCAACACTGTCATGAATCGAGACCAAAAGGTATAACAGAGTGAAAGAGTAGGTCGAGTGGAATAAAATATTCCGTTAAATATTCTTCCAGCAGCTATGGTCTGACTTGTGGGAAAGTCCCCAGGAAAAGGAACGGAAGCCCCTTGACCCAGGATGTCTTGACGTTGGGAGAAGAGGTTATCTTCTCTATCACCCCTTAGTGAATATATATTCTAGCAGTCTAGATGCGTAACAGTTTAAAGTGACAGGACAAACGACCACCGGTGAAAGGAAGAGAATAACGAAAGAGGTTGCCAGGGTAGAAACTCTGTCAACAACGCGTGGAGGATAGCCGCAGCTACACCTGATTAACATGTTCCTTTGAAAGGTTGTAACTGCCAACCAAACATGAAGCAGCAATCTATTCAATTCAATTTCCCACTTCCGTGGGGCATATATATATATATATACAAGACACAGCCAAATATAGTGATTTGGCAATAATTACGATGCATCTACTACAAAATATAGATTTAAGTTAAAAAAGTGCTTTTATATCTATCAGGAGGGTCATTGAATAACGTAGTTACCGTACCTCGGGGTCGGGATATCAATAACCCGACCGACAAACAGCCGCTTAGCTCCAGCCGCCAAAAGCATCGCAGCATCCCCAATGCTCAACTCCGCCGATTCAAACCTCCAATTCCTCCCCGCACTCCCGCATCCATTCTCAAAAGCCCCAATCGTGCACGGCATATAGTCTGCCACCATGTCTGGGAGCCGCGGAGCTCAGTACGTCTCTCAATTGCGGCTTTACTGGGGCGCCCGCCAGAAGTACTCCCTCAGTGTTCCCGAATATAGCAGGGCTAACCATTTCATTCGCTTCCTTTCTTTATAAATATAGGTTCAACCAACATGTGCTCATCGACACAACCCCCATGCCCGATGACATCCCCAAGGTCAAAGAGATCGGGGCCACGTCTGCCCCATTGATGAGCGCGGCGTACTTCATCGGCGACCGCTGCAAGGCATACAATGACGATTACATGAAGTGCAAGACGGAGTCCAACGGGAAGGGCGAGCTGGACTGTCTGAGGGAAGGTCGGAAGGTTACCCGTTGCGCGGCTAGTGTGTACGTATTTGCGTGGACATGAGGGAGCAATTTTTGTTGTATTATGACTAATTTGCTCTCTTGATTTTGTCGTCTAGCATCAAGGATATCAACGAAAACTGCCTCGAGCAATTCAAGACGCATTTTGAATGTCTAGAACAGAATAACCATCACCTATGGCAATGTCGGAGGGCTGAGAACGCACTAAATACTTGCGTGTTTGAGAAGCTTGTATGTGTTGCATTCCTGCCCCAAACAGAGAGGCAAAGAGGATAGAGCACAAACCGGGATATCGATTGCTGACATTTACTCGCGCTTATAGGGTCTAAAGAAAGAAATCCCCGATACCCCCAAGGGCCAGACACCTGTCCATCTGCGAAAGTCCCAAATCTACGCCAATTACTCTGGTCCGCAATATTAGATTTTCTTTTTACTTTTTGTCTTAAGAATAATGAAAAATTGAAACAAAAAAACAACAAAAGGGATCTCGTCTGCTCTGTACATATATACATATATTATTGGTTCGGAATGATCGCATGGTTGCATTCTTGTGAAATACGAGTTCATTCATCACATCAATTCTCGTTTGCGAGCTCGTGGCTTGGTTTAGCCTTTTAGCATGCATACTCTGATTTATATAGAGTGAAGAAACCAGAAAATCGGGCCCTCTACTCGTCTACCTGCAAAGTTATACCTGGAGCTCAAAAGAAAGAGCCAAGTGCAGAGAAAAAGAAAGGTTAAATATATGAACACCCTGTTACTGTATATCCAGAACCATCCCCGTCCACTACCACTATACCTCAAAACTTAGATTTCTCCTTCCTCTGCAACCACTCCCTGAGCCTCTGCGAATATTCAGGTAGAGCCGGAGTATGCACCTTATGATGCTCCGCCGTGGCATATATTATCTTCCCATCCTTGGACTCCATCGTGGCGCCTATTAGGGCCATTGTTCGTCCGTGCTGGATGACGTTGGTGCGGATGTAGACTGTCGAACCTATATTTGTAAAAAAACAAAAAGGCAGTTGTGTTAAATAACTTGATCAAAAAGAGGGGCTCTCTTTCCTTGTTTGGTGGTTTGCCTGTTTTATGTGTTCACATAGATAGACTCTAGTACATGATACATAATACACGTACTGCAACGTTGACATACCTATAGGCACAGCTTTCAGATAGGAGATGTTGAGTGAGCGCGTGACACCAGCCAGGAACCTAAACGACGTGGGAAACAGGAGCGGTTAGAATAAAAGGTATCCTACGCCGGCCGAATTATTCTGTTTCAGAGAGGGAATGGGACTTATGTAGGTACTTACTCCCAATATCCCTCCTTCGAAATCGGGCTCATGGAGATGGCAGTGCACATGTCTAGATGGGTTTTATTCTTCCGTTAGGTGACTACTAACAAACCTTCGGCAGGAGAATGCCTGATATACGATACTACATATAGATATATGTATAGAGGAAAGGCAGAATAACCTACCAAATATAACACCGTAAGCGCCGCCATGCATCACCCCTATAAACTCCAGTTTGTTTTACTTTCCTTCAGCACATCCCTTCTATATACTCGTATCCTACATGCGGTAGGTTGGGCAGAGGAAAGAGAATACGGAGATGCAAAATCATTCATGTTCTCCTAACCATTTATATTGGCCCAGAAGTCCGTAATGGGGAGTTCCCAGAGGGCTCTGCCGTCGGGATACGCTTCGATGACCCGCAGGGAATCCATCAGCTGTCTATCGTAGCCCTATATACTCCGTGACAGGAAAGAAAAAGGGGAAATGGTCAGTTAGTTGGTTTTGATGAGGTATAGCATTTTGCTAGGGAGTATTTTCGATAGCGTATGCATCGCTGGGCTGTTTAGAGACAACGAACGGTATCGTCACGGGATAATTATTAAGGGGAAATGGTATGAGGAGAGTATATAAAAGTGTACATGAGGGATTCATTCTCTCTCTTTTTTTTTTTTTTTTTTTTTTTTTTTTTTTTTTTGTTGGACTGGGCAAGAAAACTGACTCTAAAATTCTTCTCCTGCATGATTCCGTGATATCTAAACAAAGATGTCAGTCAGCTGAAATATTGCAAAGGTCATGTAGGGTATCATGACCCCCGGATTCCCCTTTTTCTCTCCTAACACCCCCATTCTCATAGACCGTGGCCAAAATTGTAAATAGAGAGACTGTATCAACTTACATCTCAACCAAGCCTTCAACAGCCTTTTTTGCCTCCTTTCGTGCAGCATCGTCGTTTGCCATTCTTATATATCTTCTCTCACGCGCCGGTTTCCTTTTCCCCTCCTCCCGAGGTCGATATGGTATAGGCAGGCGATATGTGTAGTTGTTTAAAATATAAGAAACAACAAAAGGCTTAAAAAACCCCAACACCCAACCAGAGAAAGGTTGGTTATAGCACACAATATGGTTGCTTGCTGGGGGTAAACAAGATTATATCTTAAGATATATATCTTCCACCCTCGGCGTGGAGGGGTCGAACTAAGCGCGGCCCCGAGGTTCGGTTTCAAAGCAGAAAATCGACTCCTATTTGTCCAAATGATTCAAAACTGGGTGTGCAGAGGAGGTATCATTCATTCATTCATTCATTCACTTATCTATCAATTCAAAACCTCTAACCAGTTGCGGCAGGCCGAGCAAAGAAATGTTTTGATATCCATTAATAGCACCGGGTCCCTGCGAAACGGATAGGCAAAACTAGAGAAACCGAGGGTCTTCGATCTTGGTCATCTATTAACCTAACTGCATGTAAGTTAGTAAGTTCAAGATTTCATAGAATGATTAAGAAAAGATGCCATTCTTGACATGGACTAGCTAGGGCTGGATTAGCCGTGAAGGCAGATTTCTTGCCCAGTGGAAGGGTTAACTTAATGACATTGCCAGCATTGACCTCTCACTAGAGATAACTAATCAAGCTTGGAGAGTGTAAATAAATGAAGACGATAGAGCTACTACAATGCAAGGTAGAGGAAAAGAAGAGACAGATGATCGAATGGTGGCAGCATCGAGATAAGCCATTTATATAATACAATGGCTTGCCAGTTCGTCTGTCTCGTCTGATCAACTGCTTCCATCCATTCAACTAAATAGATTTCTTTCCTCCCTCTCCTATCATGGCTTCTTCTCGTGTTTGGCTCATCACCGGTGCAACTTCCGGGTTCTTGAGAAACATGCGGCCGGCTGCGGCCAGCGAGTGATTGCTGCTTCCCGCAACCCCGAGAAGTTGAGGCTTGATGATGGTGCCGGCTACTAAGCTCGATCCTAACCAGACCCTCGAGGAAATCAAGGCGGCCATGAAAGACATCGTCACGATATACGACTCTATAGACATAGTGGTTAACAACGCTGGTTATGTTCAGACAGGAATCCTTGAAGAGGTTACCCCCGAAGCCACTTTCCGCCAATTTCAAGTCAATACCTTCGGCCCTCTAAATGGATTCTGTGCGGTGCTCCCGTATCTATGTGAAAGAAATCCGGCACCCTGGTTACTATCGGCTCGATGGCGACCTCGCATCCTATGGTCAGCTGCAACCTATATAATATAATGCTTCCAAAGCCGCGCTGGCTGGCGATTGGCCTTGCCGATGAAGTTGCCTCCTTTGGCATCCGCCACTGTCTCAACTGATGAACCCCAATGCAAAAATCACATCAACCGGTTCTACTGAATGAATTTCTGACTACACTGAAATCAATGCACCGGCTGATAGCAGCTTTACTAAGTTCCATGCCGCAGAGTTGGATAACCCTGTTAAGAATATGGAGATTATCTATGATGTTGTTACTTCCTCAGGACATGCTGCTGGGAGAGATCTACTTGCCTTGGGCAGTGATGCTATAGCTGAAATTTCAAAGCCTGCTTCTCAGACTCTCACTGATCTCAAGGCATGGCAGGAGATTAATGTGATAAGTGATTTCTCTGATGAGCAGTAAATATTTAGTTGAGTTATGACTGCTATGTAGAATACTTTAGAGTCTTTTCTTTTTGAAGCATGTGGGGGGATGTCAATAACAGCAACTATTTCCCAGGGGTGTAAACCTGAAAGTTGGGAACGCGGTATATGCACGCTGACGAGAGAACCTAGCAAAGTACTGTACATTTACAATATATTGTTAGTTATTCCTATATTCCTCGTGAGCTCTGGTATCTTAAGGCAGAGAGTAAGTAAATACTGCAATAAAAACAGCGCTCTATATATGGAGTAAACTCTCTATGCTTCAGTTCCCTCGGTGCATCCATATTCTAATCCACGTAGAACGGAGCTTAGTATTAGACATGCAGATTCGAGGCATTGAAAAAAATAAAAGCTGACATAGGTAGATATATAAATATCTTAACTAGCCTGTGGATAGTATCTATAGAACAAACGAAGGATTTCGTTGCTCTGTGTTATATCCTTCGAATTCAGGACGTCCTGCATGTCATCTTCAAATGCCATTGGGAACCTTCCTGCGTAGAGTTAAATATGCAAGCAATGCAAAGGTAAGAACCCGAGACTCGAATGATTTATTCAGTTTGAAGTCTCCTCTCATGGCTATATGTTGGGCAACAGGATCTCAGGCTTAGCAGCTATAATGCCCCCTCCATCATCACACTGTGGACGTGTCTAGATACCTCGCGGTATCTCGTCAGCTAACATTTCTTTCATTTTATGTTTCCACGTTTAATAGGGCGAGGATAACACGCCGAACCCCCAACAAGATAGACACGAGTGATCCTCTTATGAGAAATTCCGAGGCTGAAATCATATATCAGTACTGGATTCGATGGAAGATTCAACAGCAGATTTGATGGAGGATTCAACAGCAGATCTGGATGTGGATGATAATGAGATTGTGAATTCAGTTCTTCTATTCTCTCCATCATATATTTCATCATCATCATCATCATCACATTGATTATCTCACTTGGGAATGTCATATGAATGAAGTTGAAGCTGTTAGAGCTGAAGGAGAGAATATAATCACTGACATTTGAGAGATCTGTATAGAAGAATTGATTGTAGAAGTTGTAGATTCATTCTTCTGATTCTTCTTCTTCTTTCTACTCATTAATCATTTTGTCATCTCTCTTGTTCTTTATCTCATTGATAATCACCTGTTCATACAATCTGTATGAGATGTCAGGTTCAGGGGTAGGGATTCACAGATGTAGAATCCTCAGACTGAGTCTCTATATCCTTCTCATCCATCTGCTCCTTCATCTCATCATTGACCAGATCCTCTCCATTATCTAGAACTTCTGAAACAGGTCGTTTGGGGAGACTGAGGCACAGGGTAGGAGTCTTTGTACAGGCTTGTGAAGCAGCAGGACAGCGGGCGTTGCGAGGCATATTGAAAAATGGGTTGATTGATATATGTGGATTTGATGATAAAGGTAAGAAAGACATGTATTTGGATGATAATTGATTGAAAAAGACGCGTATTGGACGATAATTGAATGATTCTAGAGAAACATGGATATTTTGATTTTTTTGTGGTGTTTTGCTACTAATTTTCAGGGGGTGCTGGGAAAATTCTGTTTTCGCAAGCAATATGTCCGCCACAATATAAATATACTGTAGCTCCAAAGCCGCCTTCGCCATCCATAACAGAAGCTCTGCAATAAATGAAGCTGCGGCATTTCAGAACCCAATTCCTGCAACCCGGCCACCGTACTAAGTAGAGGAACCTTAGTTATTTCGGATGACAACAGAGTAAAAGGGCATTCGAGTGGTTTAACGGCAAATCAACAAAGTAAGCCCGCAAAAGATCTGTAGGCGTTGTTGTGGACGTTTTAACAAATAGCAAAGGCATGGTTCATTCTCTTTCTGCCCGTGGGATCAAATGTGCTGAAAGTTGAACTTCAGACATATGCTGCATGACTTGAGAAGATGCTGGGGATGACATATTATTATATACTGCCATCAGAGGCATGAGCAAGAGGAGCTCTGAGCATTCACACTCCGTAGAGAACAAGACATGTTTTCGTAGAGTCATGGCATGTCAGACAGATGGGCAGAGTCGGACGGTGAGGATACTGTTAGATAAATCTTTTCCCCTCTTTCGTGGAAAAGATCATTTCTGAGATTGATGGCCACGGATATTATATTATGTATCTACTAATACAGTTAATTGGAAGAGAATGTGTATGCACGTATTGTAAATAAATGTATAGATGAATATCATGACAATAGATCAAGCAGAACGCCGCGGGAGCAAAGTATGTATATGTGTATTCTGCATGGAGAGTGGGCGTATACACCCACCTCAAAAAAAAAAAAGAAAAGAAACGCTGAAACAGAGGAGAGAAAGAACAAAAGAAAAAGAAGGGATACCTTCTCCCAACCTACCCCTTGCGAAGTAGCAGGAGATAAACCACATCCCCAACCCACAACAAAAAAAATAAAAAAAAATAAAAAAAAATAAAAAAAAAAAATAAAAAAAAAAATAAGGAACGACCCCACCTACGGAAACCCTCCCAATCTAAACCCCAACCCCCTTCTCTCCCCCCTCCCAATAACAAGCGCAACTCTCCTCCTCACCTCCTTCCAAATCTCCACCCCGCTCACCTTCTCCTCCAACCGCCTATCCCCCCTCACAACCCGCATCCACACAAGCAAACACCCAAACAGCACAAGATCCCAGCAAACCTGCCGCACCACAACCCACACAAGCCATTTGATCCACGCCCACAGGCTCGAGCGGCGCCGGCTGTTGATCGCCCGCGTCTCCATCTGCTCTCTCATCGCCGCGAGTTCGGCTGTCATTTTCGTCATGGCCTGCTCGACTCGCCGGCGCCAGCGGCGGTTATAAGTGGTGGCTTTGGGTTTCGGGGTATCTTTATCTCGGTCTCGGTTTCTTCCTCTGGGCTGTTGTTGGGTACCGTTATTATGATTATGATTATTATTATTATCCGACCGCACATCTTCGTCGTCATCGTCATTCTCATTGTCGTCGTCGTCTTCAAAAGGGCTATCCCGCGCTTCTTGAAACTCCTCTTCATCCTCGTCATCCTCCTCGTCTTCGTCTTCTTTTTCCTCCAGCCTGTCCCCATCCGGTCCAGCGCCGTGTTCGTCGCCTGCTTTATAATTCCGCCGGCCGCTCCCTGGCACTTCATCATCCGGCTGACTAACAGGGCTAAGAACTCTCAATCTCGAATCCCGCCCAGCATATATCGGCCGTTCCATCCCTTCCTCTGCCGCCGCCGCTTCGCCACGCGATATCCGGCCACCAATGCTTCCATATTGCGAGCCATAGTTTGATCGGGAGGGCGGGGTGGGGGATGCTACACGGGATGGTTGACGTTGTGGCTGTGAGACGTTGGAGGTGTGGATGGGGCTACCGGATGAGTGGGAGGAGGACGAGTTTGACTTTATCTGATCCCAGACAAACTCAAGCTCGGAGATGAGCTCGCGGGCTTCTGGCGTTGAGGAGGCGTATTTGTTCATTGTGTCGAGTAAAGCAGTGATGTATTGGCGTTTTGCCTCGGTGCGTGATAGATGGCGCTGCGCGTACCAGGCATCCCTAATGGAAGCCGTTTTTGATATGTTAGCTTTCCCACACTTTTGATTGCGCTGATAATACTGTGTTCATTGAAGAGATAGTCATTATTGCAAAAAATAAAGCCTCCCGTAGGGAAGTGAAAAGAAAAACCAAGGGAGGACAGTTAATTTATGCTCATCTCATACCATTTCTCTCTCTCGGCATGTAAATCCGTTTCATCATCGACAGGCCGATCCATGACCCCTTCCACATCGCCCTCTAAAATCACGACCACCCAAAATCAGCACTTTCATATGTCACCATCATTAAGCTTTCGCCGCAACTTTTTTATATTTACTTTTCCGAACTCTGAACAATATAGGGGACAGGAGCGAGGGAGATAAGTACCCATGCTCTGCTTGTATAAGCCATATAACCTCAATCGTTCGGGGAGGGGTGGCCTGGCCGACCCCGATCGGGGGATTCTCTTGACGGTATTGAGAGCATGGACGAATACTCGGTCTAGTGAGGGGCCAGGAAAAGACATAGTTAGCATTGATCAGCGAGTTTGACATCGTTATTCTGCTGGACGGGTGTAATTGCATATAAATATACAGAGGCAGGACGACTCTCGCGTGCGTTTAGCTTCGTCGTGAACATTTGTCGATGTTCGACCTGCTTGAACTTCAAATTTTGCCGCAAGGTTTTTGATGGGAAATAGGGATTTTTGACTTACCGACGGAGTCTGACATGGTGTATTCTCAAAATAAAAAGGGTAGAGGAGACGAAGAAGAATAATTAAGAATGCAATTGGGGTGAGAGGGATATAGAAAGGAAGGGAAGTCGAAAGGAGAGGATGGATAAGTTAGGTTTATATATCAACGGTAGGAATGAGAGAGCGATCAAAAAGAGAGAGAGAAGAGACGAGAAGAGAAAATGACAGTAGAGCTACAGATATCACCCGCGTCTAAAAATCCTCTCTCATTCCTCTTTTTCTCCCCTGTGTGCCCTAGGTTGGTATAGTATGAAGCACACCCCTCCGGTATATCTACCTAGATAATCAATCCGCAACCCGCCGCTGGAAGATTCAACAAGAGATAACAACTGACAGCAGCCGCAACATCTGGCATCTGGCAGGCTGCTGGTAGCTGATGCGCAACGACACAGCAGGGCTGATGGGGCGGTGTTGAGTGTGAAAGGAGCTCATGATTATGATGCTGGGTTGATTATCAGAAAGTTAACCGCGTTCGTCTCCAAACTTTCCAGCTCCGAACCGCGGCTTCAATAATAGCAGACATGCGGCCCGCGGCTTAGTCATCCATTCCGGCAAGAAACTTCTTCACCTGTTGCAATATCGTGACTCTGTTCTTCGTTCTTTTGCTATTTCTACCAAGATGGATAGTATGTGTATAAATACGTATGGCATTCAAGCAGGAGAGAGTAAGATACTAGTACTCATCTATTTATGAAAAAAACGACTTGCTGAAGGCGGCTATAGAGTGGTGTATTTCTTCTGTTCGATCGCCGGGAGTTTGTACCCCTGGCTGCTCGCCTGCATGTGAAACAGAGCTTCCCACACAACACTTCAAGCAACACCGTAACTTGGCATAACTATACAGCGTAGAGGACACATTCAAAAGCGGGTCTTAATACCCAGCTAGATATTTCTCTTAAAGTACAACAAAAATACATAGGAGGAAGAATCAAAGATCCTTTCATGTCGAAGTCGAATAGCACACCCCTATTACAATGGCCACTTTTATGATTATTATATTTCGTTTAGGCTCATAAGCTCATATATAATCTGTATTATCGACTCCGCATTTTTCGTTTTTCTTCGAATTTCCAATGGGGGGAGGGGGTGTTGTGGTGTCCGTGTTCGTGACTGTGTCTGTGTATAAATTACATCTTTTTAACATGCACCAAGACAACAAAATAGTGTAGTGAGTGAAAAACAGCCCCAATTCACTTCCTCTGAAAGAAAGGATGGAGAGAGAATTTATACCAGACCACACAATGTATCATGGCCTCCTGAATGCATAGACACATCCCATATCAATGAACAAACATATAGCGGAAAAGGGGGGTGGATGAGAACAAAGAGTACGAAAATCAAGCACGACAAATGCGGAAAACGAAAAGGATGATTGTAGGACGCAAATAAATGCAACGGGGGAGGATAAAAAAGAAAGAAAAAACAAACTAGCGAATGGGAGTATAAAATAATAAACACGAACAAGAATCGAAAAACATCACAGGTAGTTCGTGGCTAGAATCAGAGACAAAAAGGGAAAAAAAGGATCACATGAAATGGAGATAAAATAGCAA